TATATATATATATATAATATTGTTTAATGGTAGAGCAATTTATTTTATAATTGTTTGTAGGAATTCTACTGATATACATCCCTAGCTTTTTGGTTTTTAAATTTTTTTCTGCTCTGATAACTTCTGAGGGGTCGGTTTCATATAAGATCATTAAACTTGCTGATTGGTATTCTATATTTCTTAATAGAGTATTTGCTTTATTATCCCTTGATGTTTGGATTGTTAGGGATTCTGTTATATTTGCAAAAATTTGTTTAATTGTTCACCTTCTAAAGGGGTTTTTGTATCCTTATTTTGCGTTTTTATTTTAGAATTAATTATTTCCTATATTACTTTACTCTTATTATTTGCATTGTTTATTTGTTGAAGGTTATTTGATTTTGTTTTGTGTTCTAGGTGCACTTTGTAATTATTTTTTAGTTTTTTGTACAAGTTCATATAGTTTTCATCTTTTTTTACGATTGAGATTGTGCAGCTTCAACTTGATTTTTTAATTCTCTTGTTTCTTTGTATTTAATTTTGTGTCTAGTTGTTTTAATGTTCACTTTTTTTTTAGGAAAGCAAAGTTTAAAAAAATGCATAAAACTGTTATGGAAGTAATTATAACTTTCTTCGCCACTTGCTGATGAAGGAACATCCCAGGAGGTGTTTTTAATATGCTCAATAAAGAGGTGAGTATTTGTAACTGAAGTATTTTGAATATATTTATATACTTTATTTTCAGTATTTAGTATAGTATTTTTTCCAATTAAATATTTAAAATTTGGGTAAGATGGTCAGAGAGGTGAGCATTTTCTGTTTTATTGTGGTAAGAATTTATCTTTGTGTTTATAAATATATTATCGATACATGTGTCTGTGTTTAAAGTTATGCGTGATGGTTCCATAATTATTTGGGTTTTTTTTGAAAATATACGTTAAAATCTCCAGCAACTATAATATTTTTATTTGATAGATTTAGAATATTTAGGGCTGTATCCATTTGTGTTAAAAAACTCTTAGATCACCAAGTGGAGGCCTGTAAACACAAATTATATAAAGTTCATTTTTTTTCAATGAGTTGCTGACAACTCGATATGGTTTTCAATTGAGAGGTTTTCTATGTTTTTAGTATGCTTGATGAGACACCAGATTTTACTAATATTAAACTTCCACCATGAATGCTTTACTCTCTGCAGAAATAACTTGAGATTTTATAATTTGGTATGATAATATTATTTATTATTGGTTTCCTAATCCAGTGCTCTGTTATACAAGCGACAATACAATTTTGTTCATTTAGATAATAATTTAGGGCATCTATTTTATTGGTTTTATTATTCTATTGTATATTCAAATTAATGAATGTAAAGTTTTGTGTTTTTTTTAATATATTATTTATTAAAACGTTTTTGGGTCCCCATAAAAAATTATAGCGAGATACTGTTACTCCAGTAGGCCAATTTTCTGCTTTATACAAATCATCTATTATGTCTATGCTTGTTTCGATTTTGAAGGATATACTTTTTGCGCATTCGCGAGTTTGACATTTTTCTATATATAATCCTCTTGTTTGAAGGTTTTGCAAAGATAATCAAGTATTGTTTTTTCTTCAGTATTTATAGCAACCCTTCCTAGGGCTACGTAAGCTCTTTTTGGGTTACTTTTAGATATGATAGTATCATTTGAGTTTGATCCAATTATGTTTTTCTGTGCTTTTTCGGAATTTTTTTATTTATTCTTTATTTATATTTTGCCGATTTAATTGAGTTGGTAAATTTTCACTTTAGCGACTTTTCCGAAAACGGCAGGAAAGTTGCCAAAATGCCAAAAATAGGTGTGGAGGGATGTAAAAGTGCATAAACAATCGGCGCAGGGTGAGAAAGTTGTATAATTATCGCGTATTTAATAAAAAAAGGCTGATAATTGAAGTGACTTACCGTGATTTTCTGTGAAAAAGAACATGCAGCGAGCCAAAAACACGTATCTAATAGACGTAGAATTTGAAAGTGGAAGTGAAAAAGCGTGAATTATGAAAAACAACGTCATGAATTGAGGAAAATGCAATTTTTAAAATCAGGTAATTTATGTTGTTATGGTAGTTTATGAAGATTAGCTGTCATCTTGGTTATGCAGGTACACTAAAATGGGCAAAGGTGAGCGAAACCAACCCAAACTTAACAACCCAACCCAACCGACCCCCCCGCCCCATTGAGCAATAGAGGTATAATATATCTATGGGCAAGCTGAATTGTGAACCTGCATAACCTCAAATTACCTGATTTTAAAAATTTCATTTTCCGCAATTTATGACGTTGTTTTTTATAATTCAAGCTTTTTCACTTCACTTTCAAATTCTACGTCTATTAGATACGTGTTTTTGACTCGCTACATGCTCTTTTTCACAGAAAATCACTGTAAGTCACTTCAATTATCAGCCCCATTTATTAATTACGTGATAATTATACAACTTTTTTACCCTGCGCCGATTGCTTATGCACTTTTACATCCCTCCACACGTATTTTTTGCATTTTGGCAACCCCCAATCCGTTTTTCGGAAAAGTCGCTAATGTGTAAATTTAATATTGAGTTTTATTTATTTGTGGATTACTTTCTATGTTTGTAGTTTTTGGGATTTCTTGTGAGGTAGACGCGGCAACCTCGGATTTGGCTACGGCGGTAACCGGTTTATTTTTACTTTTTAATAAATTTATAAATTATAATAGTGTCTTTGTCACTTTGTTCCAGGGATTGAATTATAGTTTTTGAACATTTTAGCTCTACCTAACAACTTTTAATTCACTTTCTAGCAGGGACCCGGACCCAAATGAAATAACGGTTTCTGTCCGGTTCCGGTTCCGGAGAATCGACCAATTGCGGTTCGGGTTCAGTGACGGTTCCAAAAAAATATTTCTGTCCGGTTCGGACCAATCTTTTCGGACCATACGGTTGTTATAAATATTTACCTACTTAATTATAAAATGAAAAAAAATTTGGTTGTAATTTTTTTTGGCATGTAATTAAATTACTTTGGCTCTTCATTCTCTTTTTTTTTACTTTTATTCTTGATCGGCTAACTTTATCTTTTTCTTCTGATCTTGTGATTAAAATAAGTTATCCAAAAAAAAAACTGAACTTTCTTCTTTTTCTCCGAAAATGCTGTTGATTCTCAAAAATAATTGTTCCTCTATATTTTTTTCTTTTTTGTTTAATCTTGTTGGAGGAAGTATAAATTTGAGACCAGAAAACAGCCTTTCAACGCTTACTTCCTTGTGTTGCAGGTGTCGTATGTATACATATACATACATAATACTAGGCAACACTGTAATTAATAAATCCACACTACAAATGTACTACCCACCCATACTAGTCAAGATACATACACCTACATTCTAGTCATTTTAATAAATCAGTCTTTAACCTACTCTGGTATTATTTATTTCATGGCGCAGTCGGTAGGATATTTTGTAGTCGGGGTTTATTAATTACAGTGTTGCCTAGTAATATATAATACATATGTATACATGACATCTTTCTTTTTCCAAAAAAGTAATTTTAATTTACATTTACAATTGTTATTAGCACAGCAGGTACCCCTAACAATACTTCTGCTAGAGAGTATAATTTATAGATTTATTGACCGTGTTCAAATATTTTTTTGCAAAAACTAATTTTATAGATTTTTTTAACAAAACAAAATATTTTTTTTTTTAAATTTTACAAAAAGAATTTAAGAAATAAACTGAAAATAACCTAAAAACCGTTTTAAATGTAAAGGGTTGGGGTTCGGTCTCTAGACTTGCATTTAAAAATAATATGGGTTCGGTTCCGGTTCCGGTCCACAAATAAATACCGGTTCCGGTCCGGTTTTCTGTCAAAAAACGGTCCGGTCCGGGTCCCTGCTTTCCAGGCGAATGTATTCACAATTGTTTTTTAGGTTATAGTTTGGAATATCACTGATCTTTTCATTTTCTATTAGATTTTTTATTCCGTCGCTGATTTGCACATTATCTGGAAGGTTTTTCTTTAAAATGATGTTAATTAATGTCTCTTTGTGTAGTTTTCCAAATTCTCGAACAATATCTGCACTTGTTGCCATGTTGCCAAACTTTCAGCGAGCACTTCTCTCTTAACGATATAGAAGAGAATGAACCAGATATTATCATAACACTACGTAATACAAAAACAAAAACAAGCGAGTTTTGACCATAACTTCGGAAGCGAACGGAATTGAGTTGTATCGGAAGTATCGTAAATTAAGGCCACGAAACACAAATCATTCCAGATTTTTCGTTTGTTACTGGAATGGTTAATGCACTGTGCCACTGGGGGATCAACACATTTTATAGTTTGCCTACAGCTACAGCTACACAGGGCATTGTATACTAATGAGTGCAGCTACCATGTTGCTTGATAATGGGGGCAGTATTCCTGCTTTAAAAAGACTGGGGGGATGGTCTTCAACATCTTCTGCTGATATATGATATATGAGGGTTATATAGAAGAAGCATTCACAATAAAATTCAAACATCGAAGAAAAGGCTCCACTCGACAGGAAGCTTCAAATGGTGACTCTTTGCAGCACTTATCCTTATCTAGTTCAACTATCATGGATGTCTCATTAAACGAATTTTCCAAAGGGACAAATGGAATTTCATTTCAAAATATATCTAATTGTACATTTAATATTTATGAACATGAAAATTGTAAATAATTTTTTTCGTTAAATGTCAGATTTTTGTGTATGGTTGTGTTGCTTACGAGTCAAATGTTGTTAACTATTAAAGTGTTTCTAACTATTAAAGTGTTGCTAATAAGTAAAATAAAAAATTTCTTTATTGAATTCTAGCTAATCAAATGGCTGTTTTCCATTAAGCATACAAAAAAATTATTTAATATTCTTTGTAAAAAAGTATAATATTCAGCTGAATAAGTAAAATAATTCCCAATAATTTGTTAACGATTTTTAGTGAAATTACGATTTATAAGCAGAGTGCAGACTTTTTAAGTATGAACCTTACCTTGTACACTGCGCTGTTGTAGTATGGATGATTAGGGTCGTCTGGTGGATCGATTGGGGTGCCTGAATCACCTGAACTAGTCGAACTTACACTTTCTCGTCTGCCCAGCTATAAGCCATGCAAAGGTTAGGAAAAAGTTAATGGTAAAATATGGTTTAATATAGTGCTTCAGGATTTGAGCATTATATATTATAAAAACAGATTTTTTTAAGATGTTTAAGTTGTTTTAATAAATGTTATTGTTAATTTTGGATGACTTTTAGTAAATGAAATTTTGCTTATTCAAGCGGACGGATGGGACAAATCACAAAACTGTTTTATAAAAAATTTTTAGGTAATTTATTATATCCCGGATATCAATCGGGATTTCCTGGTGAAGTCATGATGATATCACAACGTGATTTTTTTATCACGCTGTGATATCCTGAGTGCATACACATGCTTCATCACAGCGACATCATGTAGAACTCACGGAGTGATATTTGCAAAATTTGCGCATGCATATGAGCCCTGTGAACTGCGAATTTAAAACCCACCCGGACAACATTCGTACGTGATTTTCACAAATTTTGTTCATCATGATTTTTTATGCCATCGGTGTTTGGATATTCATTTTTGCGACACATTCGTACATTGAAAGAAAAAGTATGTTAACAATTGAATCAACAGTTTAACATTCCATATTTTCTTGGATATAAATTAACTATATATAGTTAAATCCAAGAAAATATTAAATGTATTTAACCGCAAAAACTGTTGATTTAACATAATTTTTCTCTTAGTGTACGAACGTGGCGCAAAAATGATTATCCAAACAGCGATGGCATAAAAAATCACGACATGATTTTCATTTCTCACGTAGTGACATCCGGATGATGTCCGTATGAATAAAATTTGTGAAAATCACGTGACGTTCGTATGATTTTCATTTATCACGCGGTGACTTCCGTATGATATAGAAATATTTTATAAAAGTAGAGATAATTTCGATAATTGACAGGTGTGGACGGGACAAGATAAATTTTTTAAAAACAGTTTTAAATTTGCGTTTCGCGGGCTTGAAATGGCGCTGTTATTTCAAAATTTAGAGTAGGTTACATTTACATTCAGGCAAATGAGTTCAACTGATTGTTACCGATTTTATATTTTTATGTATCTCACCTTTCTAAATCTTGTTTTTGACAATCTAAAATAGTCTCGTCATTTATTTAACACGTCAATACATTTTTTGTAAAAAAAAACTGACAGGATGGATTGACAAATAGCTTGCTTTGGATAAACAAATATAAAACTTTTTTTCTGAATCAATAACAAAGTAGTTAAATTTGGCAATATTATTTTTCGACTTAAATATACGTTTTTATCATTCTAAAATGGGTTTTTAAACTGTAATTATTATTACCACAACAATCCATGGACATCATTCCCTAAATTTAAATAAATTGTTAATCGCCTTTTAGTAAATAAAAATCACTTGCACGGGTAAAATCACTGTAAAAATTAAAAAAATAACCTGATCTCCGCTGACCACCGTGCTAGTAGTTTTAACTTCCTGCGTGACTGTCCTCTGCTCCTGTCTGGTGGCGCTCGAAGTCATAGATGTCGCCACTGTCTTTTCTTCGAGTTGTTGGGTGCGCGCGTTCGTGCCAAGATCTTCGTGTGTGGTGGCCGTTCGCGTCGTCACTGCACGAGCAGTGACGAAGGGCGACTTGCCATCATCGATGGAAGGTGCGTCGGCCTTTAGGTACGCGTGCAATTTTTGGTGGGATAACGAGGAGTTAACGAAAAATAAAAAAGAAAAACATAAGATACTTAACAAAAACATAAAAAATGGTTTAAACAATTAATTATAATATATATAATAAGTCTAGAAGTAAGCTAAGAACAATATAAGTTGATTATCTTTTTAATTTTGCCTAAGACTGGCAAAAGTTACAACAAATATAAAATCTATTTCAAGTGATGCCTCCAATATTAGCTGGTGATACCTTGTTATATTTTATGAAGAAAAGTTAATAATATATTATATACAGTGTGACCCATTTGTTTGCGACTCACCCCTGTAAAATCTTTATTTATTGTGCGATTTTAACCGGATTTGTTTTAAAGTGTAGATCTTGATAAACTGTATTTTTGAAGCAAAAAGCCATATTTGTACAAAAAGGCTTACTATGTCAGTTTTTAAGAGTAAATTTTTAAAAATTCATATTAGCGATTTTTTTTAAACAAAATCTAAGCACGGCACTGGATTCACCACCCCTCAAAAGGACCTTGTACTAAATATTATTGAAAAAATTTAGTTAGAAAAATGCCTTCCTTGTATTGTACAAATATGCCGTTTTTTGCTCCAAAAATACAGTTTATCAAGGTGTACACTTTAAAACAAATCCGGTTAAAATCGCACAATAAATAAAGATTTTACAGGGGTGAGTCGCAAACAAATGGGTCGCACTGTATTACAGTCATAACTGTATGTCCTAACTTCGTTTTTGAGAAACAGGTCAAAGTTACCAACAAAATCGATTTTTAATAATTACTTTTTTCGCCGATTTTAATGACATTCTATATAAGATATTTACTATTTATATACTTACTATTTTTTATTGGGTTGCAGAGTTACCTGAATGTTGTTAAAAATTAGTGAACGCGACTGTTTTTTTAAGTTTAAAATTAAATGATACAAATAAATTAACAAAAATGTAAAATAACTTTAGTTAATAAATAATTATTTATTATTTAAATAATAAATAATTATTTATTATTTGAATAATAAATAATTATTTAAAGGTGTTTTTTATGTTATTTAATTTTATCCAAAAATTTGACTTCAATAAAAAAATAATTAATTTGGTTATACAAAATTAGTCCTTGGGCGTATATGTATACGAGCCCTAACAACTTAATGTTCGGACGATTCTAATTTTCAGAAATATTTCCTCATTTCTCATTAAATAAATATTATTTAAATTTAAAATTAAAATATTTTATTTTTTACACGCTTAGAAGTCACATATACTTAAATAAGATTTTATTTAAATAAAAATTGAACAAAAAAAGTAAAATAAATAAAAAATTAACATATTATGTTGGCAACTTAAAGTTCGGACGACTAACGTTTTTAATTTATTGTCATCAAAGTGGCTATGATTTAAGTTAAAGAAGTGTCAAATTAATTAATCTTGTGGCGTTGTTTTATAATGGTCTCCAATTTACCGTGTTAAAAATGGCTCGTGGTAAGGCTACTTCTAAAGAAATTCGAAAAATTGTAATAAAACAGTACCATGAAGGAAAGAGCATGGGAACTATTGGAAAAAAATTAAATTTGGCGAAATCTACTATAGGAAACATTATAAAATGTTATGGGGAAACCAGTGGTTACGAAATTCGGGGTAAAAGTACAGGGCAGCCAAGAAAAGTGTCTCCTAGAATGAGGAGGCAGCTCGTAAGGATTTGCAAAAATAATCGAAGATCCACTTTAAGGGAAGTAACGGCGATTTTTAACGCAGAAACCAGGCTAAACATTTCGCGAGAGTGTTGTAGACAGTGGATTCATAAATCCGGACTAAGTTTTTATAAGGTATAAAAAAATTACTAGTTTTTATAAAGAAGAAAACAAAAATCTATTTAAATTTTTTTAAACTTTATTATTTATTTTATTAAAGGCAAAAGAAAAACCGCTATTAACAAAAGCACAGAAGAAAAACCGTCTAATTTGGGCTAAGTCTAAATTGCACTGGACAGCAGAAGACTGGGTCAAAGTCGTATTTAGCGATGAATCCAAATTTGACGTGTGTGTAGGTGATTGTAGAAAACGAATTATTCGGGATAAAACTGAAGCCTTTCATAAAGACTGTTTAAAAAGGACTGTAAAATTTGCAAAGGGGGTAATGATTTGGGGTTGTATGTCTGGAAAGGGTGTGGGGCATATGGAAATAATAGATGGAATAGTTAATGCAAATAAATATCAACAAATTCTACAAAACAGCCTTATTCCCAGTGTAGAAGATCTTTATCCCGATGGTAATTTTATCTTTCAACAAGATGGAGCATCAAGCCACACTGCAAAAACAACCAAAAAATGGTTTGAAGCACACACCATGAGAGTTTTGTCATGGCCTTCAAGTAGTCCAGACCTCAATATTATTGAAACCTTGTGGCACCGCATGAAAAGTTATTTAAGAAATAATCCTCAAAGAACCACTAATGATTTGAAGACAAAATTGTCAGAAATATGGGAATCTTTTACACCAGATTATTGCAGATCCTTAATGGAATCCATGCCAGCCAGGATAAGAGCTGTTATAAAGGCCAAAGGAGATGTAATGACGTACTAAACCTTCAAATAAGTGATCGTCCGAACTTTAAGTTGCCAGCATAATTTGTTAATTTTGTATTTGTTTAATTTTTTTTTGTTCAATTTTTATTTAAATAAAATCTTATTTAAGCATATGTGACTTTTAAGCGTGTAAAAAATAAAATATTTTAATTTTAAATTTAAATAATATCTCTTGAATGAGAAATGAGTAAATATTTCTGAAAATTGGTATCGTCCGAACATTAAGTTGTTAGGGCTCGTACAATGAAGAAACAACTCCTTGAGATATACATTTTAGTTTAATTTATTTAAGTGGCGACGATTGTCATTTCTGTAATAATATTCAATTTTTCGTTTTATTTTAGTCTTGGAAACCATAGTGGTTTGAAATAAGGTACAAGAAATTTGTATTTTTAATTGTGTGAGTAACATACCCACTTTGAAATAGAATAAATATTCTATCTCAATTCTATTAGGTACAATGATTTTACTTAAAAATATAAAATTAAAACCACTGGAATAATTATTTTATATCTAACTACATCAAAAGAAACCTTAACTGCTAACAAACAAAAAGTTTCATTAAAATCGGCAAAGAGACTTTTGAGTTGTTAAAAAATGATTTTTATAAAGAAATTTTAATTAATTTTTCAAAAAACTAGCAGGATATACATTTATATGAACATTATTCACTCTGTATTATCAATAATTTAGTTATTTGGGTTGTTGCTTTGATTTTAAATTAAATTTGGATTTAATTAAATCAGGTCTAGAAACTAAAATAAAATAAAAAGGACACTTACCTTGTTGACATGGGTAGAGTAGGTGACTTCTCCAGTTCTACCATCTTCGACGCGTTCCTCGATGTTCTGAGTAACACCATCCTTGTCTTTGGTGACAATCTGTTTTGTGGTGGTTTTTACAATGACCGGTGTTGTTGGACCTCCCTTTTTACCCTTAATATTTAAATTGGCGGTAATATCCTGTAGGTTGTCGGTCCCATATTCGTTAAGATCGTCGTCGCTGGTTTCGCCAGACGAGGAACCGTCTTCTGTTTTAGTGTATGTCTTTACTTTAACTTTTGTGTCCTTAAGGTCAGTAAAGTGGCTGGGATCAATTTGGGCATAGTTCAAAATAAGTTCACCAGTTATTGGATCTCTGCGAGCGGTCTTTGGATCGATATCCCCGGTTTGTGGGTCAATATGGCCCCATTCAGTATGAATTTTACCAGTTACCGGGTCGATTTCACCAGAAAGAGTCAATACTTGGGTAACCTTGGTGTTCGCGCTCTTTACGAGTGGATCGTTTGGATCGACCTGGATAATTTTACCGGTTTTGGGATCGACCATGCTGTAGATGTAAACGGTTTGAGTGGTTACGTTTGTAATTCTTCCGGTCTTTTCATCGAACTGGCAGTCTTTGGGATCGATTTCCTTAACTCTTCCGGTTGGATCGTTTTGTGTTATAAGGTAAATACGAATGATGACCAATTTGCCGGTCTTGGGATCAATTTTGCCGTATTTGGTGTAAATTTGACCGGTCTTAGGATCGATTTCAGAAGCAGAATATAGAGGAGCACCTGTTTCGTCGACTTGCGAGGTTTTTGTAAAGATTTGGTTGGTTTCAGGGTCAACTTTGGCATTACTTGGGTCAAGCTTGACTACTTTAGAAACACTATTGGATTTTGAATCATTATAGCCATAAACAGAGACGACATATCCAGTAATTGGATCAACATGACCAGTAGTATAAACATCTTCTTTTGTAATTGGATCATTGTGATCGAATACCCATACTTGGTTGTTCTTGGTATCGATTCTAACGTGTTTAGGATCACGCTTGACTATTTCTCCTTTAGCATTAATTTGTGGGTCTGTAATAAGAATACTGATCAATCTTCCGTAGTTTGGATCAATTTTGTTAGTCTTAGGATTGACATAACCGCCCTTAAAGAGTAACTGACCGGTAGTTGGATCCACGATACCTTGTTTAACTTCCTGCCTACCTGACTTGGGATCGATGTAGGTCAATGTGCCTTTAACAGGGTCGATTTGGCCAAATTTAGTATCAACCTTATGAGTAACTGGGTTATACAGTCCGTTAGAAATTTCCGGAACAACATTCTTCGTGTCCATGATATTTTTCTTTGGATCCAGTTTTCCAAGGAATGTTACGACTTGTACTTCCGGTTCAACTTCACTGGATATTTTAACAACTTGACATAATTCTGGATTAACGCTATCCGTTTTGGGATCTTTAACGCCACTGGAAATAATAATGTTGCCTTCGGCGTCGACTTGTATAGGTCTTGTTTCTACCTTGCCTGTTTTGGGATCTTTAGTGGTAATTCTAAGGAGTTTTAGGTCGATTATTCCGTATTTGGTTTCGATTTCGCCAGTAGCTGAATTCTTTTTGGCTTTAGAGTTCTCCATTTGACCATTGTTTAGGTCCACGGTGCCCGTCTTTGGATTCTTTTTGGCAGTTATGGTCGTAATTTCAAGTATTGGATCGTTTTGTCCAGCAATGCTAATAATTTGACCAAGAGAACTGTCAATTTTGCCGGTTTTTGGGTCGGTTACGCCACTTCCTACAATAATTTGACCATTGTTTTCATTAACTTGTGCAGACTTGGCGTCAACTTTGCCGGATTTTGGATCATTAATGATAAGTTTACCATTTTTGGTATCAATGAGTCCGTATTTGGATTCAATAAGCCCAGTTTCTGGATTTAATAAAGCAGTGGATTGTTCAACCTGTCCTTTGTCAGGATCAATTTTACCGGTCTTGGGATCAATCTTGGTGGTAATGACAGTGATCTTGATGATTCTCTTTTTGGGTAATGGTGCTGCGTGTGGATCCTGAGCTTGTTTAAGTCCGACGATGGAAAATACTTGTCCCAAAGTGGGATCGACTTTCCCTGTTTTTGGATCAACAACTGGACCTCCATTAATTATATTTCCGGTAGCAGAATCCACTTTACCTGGGCTTATCTCCGTTTTACTGGTGGCTGTGTCCTTGGTTACCAAGGATCCAGTTGTGGGATCCAATTGACCGTATTTGGTTTCTATTAGGCCGGTCTTAGGATCAACAATTCCGGTTATATGCTCTACCTCACCATGCTCAGTATCAATATTTCCAGTCTTTGGATCTTTTCTGGCAGTGATAACCATAATCTTAACAATGCGGTGTTTGGCAATAGGTTGCAAGACACCAGTAATAATTTCCTTAACAGGCGACGCTTGTCCTACCGATTTTATTGGAGTTTCTACAACTTTAGCAGGAGAGGTTCTGACGGTTGTAGTGGTTGTGGATTGAACAGGTGGTAATAAAGGTTTGGTTGGAGTTACAACAGTTGGTTTTAACTCTTTCTCTGATGGCTGTTGACCTGCTACAGTATCAATAACAGGTTCGGTAATATGAAACGAAATAGCTCTTCCCAAATCTTTTTCGATTTTTCCATTTTTGGGATTGACAAAACCACCTCTGAACAATAATTCTCCAGTGTTGGGTTCCATAAATCCAAGTCGGGTTTCTAATTTGCCCGATTTTGGATCAATAATAGTCAAAGTTTCCTCAACTGGATCCAAATGACCGTATTTCGTATATATCTTATTTCTATCTGGATCGTATAATCCTGGAGTAGTATCGGGTACAGCGTTCTTAGAATCTATGGTGTTTTTCTTTGAATCTACTTTACCTACGTAAGTGGTTACTTGAATTTCAGGATCAATTTCAGGGCCCACTTGAACCACTTGCACAAAATCAGAGTCAATTTTACCAGTTTTAGGATCAGCAACTCCCGATGAAATAATAATGTTATCATCCCTGTCCACAAGCACTGGTTTTTCTTGGACCTTGCCAGTCTTGGGGTCTCTACACAAAATGCGCATAAGTTTTAGATTAATCGTGCCGTGTTTGGTGACAATCTCTCCCGTTTCTGGATTGACTTTACCGTTGGTCGTTTCCACTCTTCCGTTAGCCAAATCTGGTTCACCCGTTTTAGGATCCTTTTTGGTCGTAATTGAAGTAATAACGATAGCTGGATGTTGAGGATTAATGATATTTAATACTTGAGATAGATTTGGATCTACTTTCCCAGTTTTTGGATCTGCTACATTGTCGTTAATATAAATCTGACCGGTGGAATCGTCAATTTTTATAGCAGTGATGATAGGCTTTCCAGACTTGTCCTTTTGAACAATTTTGCTGTTTTGAGGGTCAATTTTACCAAATTTAGTGTCAATAATTCCACTTACTGGGTCCACAGTAGCAGTAAGTTTTTCAACAGTGCCTTTTTCTGTTTCAATACGACCAGTTTTGGGATCTTTTTTGCTTGTGATAACCAGCAATTTAATAACCCGTCTCTTAGGTATTGGATGTGATTTAAGCGCATTTTTAATGGAGGTAGTAGATACATTGGATGGTTTATCACCAACAACAGTAATTACTTGTCCAAAAGTGCTATCTTTCTTGTTGTGTCTAGGATCAATTACACCTCCACTGATAAATTGAATTTGACCGGTAGCAGGGTTGATTTGACCTTGCAAAGTTTCCTTATTACCAGTAGCAGGATCAGTTACAATTAACGTTCCCTTGGTTGGATCAATAATTCCATATTTGGAATCTATTTCGCCGGTTGGATGTAAAACACCAATAGATTGGTCCACAGTTCCAGATTCCAATTCAAGTTGGCCAGTTTTTTTATCTTTTTTAGCTGTAATAACCAACAGTTTGATTATTCTGTTTTTATCTTTGGGTGCTGCAACGGGCATTACTGGAACTTTTACAGGCGATACTGGAATTGCCCTTTTAGCTTCCTGTGGCATAATCTGTATGACATTTGGATCAGCTTCAGCACCTTTTACATCAATTTTAATGGTTCTTCCAAAGCTACTATCGACTTTTCCAGATTTTGGGTTTACAAGCCCCTTGAACAAAATTTCGCTGTTGTTAGAATCACGTTGGCCTTGTTTAGTTTCTGTCTTTCCAGATTTTGTATCAACGAAAGTAAGGGTTTCGTTGACTGGATCAAATACTCCGTATTTTGTAAAAACTTTATTGCTATCAGGATCATAAAGTCCAACGGATTTTTCAGTTGGGGATGCCGATTTTGGATCGAGTCCCTTCTTGTCAACTTTTCCCGATACTGAAAGTACGCTAACTTCTGGGTCAATTTCGGATCCAATTTGTAAAATTTGACTTAAATTGTTATCTTTTGAGTTGGTTTTAGGGTTTACGACACCAGAAAGAACGATAACATTGTAATTGTCATCGAACTGTACTGGATGTTCTTCAATTTTCCCTGTTTTGGGATCACGAATAGCAATCTTCTTGTTTTTGACGTCGATTGTACCATACTTCGTAATAATGAGCCCATTCTTGGCATCGATCTTACCATTGGTAGTTTCTTTATGAGCTTGGGTTGGATCAAGCTGGCCTGTTTTGGGGTCACTTTTAGCGGTCACTGCGGTTATTGGTACGATCGAATCGCTTTGTTCTGAAATCTTGATAAGTTGACCCAAGCTGCTATCGTGTTTATTTGTTTTAGGATCGAAAATACCTTCCTTAACTAATATTTGATTAATTGTTGAATCAATTTCAATAGGATGGATTTCTCCTTTTCCGGATTTCGGGTCTTTCTGAACAATTTTAAAATTAACTGGGTCAATGAGCCCGTATTTGTATTCGATTTGCCCGGTAACTGGATCCAATATAGCCTCAATGTTTTCGGTTTGACCTTTTTCAGCTTCAATTCTTCCAGTTTTCGAATCTTTCTTGGATGTTACCACGGTAATTTTAATAATACGTTTCTTGGGAACCATAGCCAACGGGCGTACAGTACCTTTAGGTTGTTGGTCAGATATTGATATAATTTGACCCAAACCGTTATTCTTTTTGCCGGTTTTGGGATCAATAATAGCACCAGATGTAATAATGATTTGTTTTGTTACAGGGTCAACAAGTCCTTGGACGACTTCCTTCTGCCCATTAGACGGGTCAGTGATAATCACTGTGCCATTTGATGGATCAATAAGACCATACTTGGAATCTATTAGACCAGTCTCAATGTTTTGTCGACTGGTACATTTATCAACTGAAGCAGCATCCAGGTCGATTCTTCCAGTTTTTGAGTCTCTTGGCCCGGTAATGACAAACAATTTAACAGGACAGTATTTATTTGTATCTACTGGAGGTTTTACTGAGGCGACTGTTCCATTATCCGGAGGAGCATGGTGAAGATATTGTTCACCAGCCAAGAAAGCTGCAGAGTCGTTTTTAGGGTCTCTTAGGCCATCTTTGTTAAGTTTTTGCACATCTCCAGGAGCATAGTTGAAGGCCGTTGCAGTAGCTCTCTTAGTGGAAGGAGATTGCTGACTTTCGGGCTCAATTTTGGGACTATTTGGGCTTTCATAACTAAAACCTTGAGTGTATGGTTTTCTGGAAGAAGTTTCATTTTCCGGTTCTTCGTAATCGTACTTTTTAGTGTAACCGGGAAGTTCGGGAGAACCGACTGGCGGTCCACCTTTTTCTTTTGGCGAGGCGACTGCCCTTTCGTTTTCTTTCTTATCTTTGGGGGCTTTGTCGTGTTTTGAACCAAACAGGAAACCAGGACTCTATTAAGCAAAGCAAAAAAACATGCATTTTATTACATGCAATAATTACATTACTTTCTACGGAGCTATAATAAATGCATGATTTTAAAAACAAAATTTAAAAATATATTTTTCCTGACAGTCGCAGCAAAAATTCAACTTTCACTGCCTTTTAAGCGATGCGAAAATGGCGAATTTCTGGAAAAAGCAGACGACTTAACTTTCGCACCTATAGCTGTATACAGCTGATTTTTTAAAGATTAACGATTATTTTCTCGCTATCTTTCAAAAGTTTGCTGCACGAGGAAATTCGACTTTTCTGCTTTTTAAGCCACGCGAAAAAGACGGATTTCTGGAAAAAGCAGACGACTCAACTTTCGCATCTACTCAAAGTGGCGAAAAAAATCAGCTGTAAACGCGAAAGTTTACCTATTTAATTGTCCTTAGGTTGTTACGACTTAATTTTTATTTATTAACTTTACTATGATCAGCTCAAAGATGTATAAACACGCGTTTTTTCTACTTATCTCTCAAAAGGTAGGGAGAGTCTAATTTCCGTTGCGCTTGTCATGAAAAATAGTGTACATATATCGTGGCGAAAGATGGCGATTTATAAAAAGTATGTTGCTAAACTCGTGCAGCAAACTCTTCAGAAATCGCCGCCTTTCGCCACTAGATATGTAATAAAACATTTTTACTCACTTAACAATCAAGTTATATTTTAAACTTTATCTAAGTAACAACTATCAAAATTTCAACATGCATTTCATACAGCAAATATGAAACATTTACGTCTAGATACAAATTTAAAATACATAAGCTTTTACTCTACAACATCTTACTTGGTAAAAACTATTTATTTTACAATTGTACGCTGTACGGATCTTTACTTGCCTTTGATGTTTCCTTTTTTTCTTTTGGAGATTTTTCGTTATTAGATTTAAGTTGTGATTCATTTTCAGTACCATTTTGATCTGGAGCATCGTTTTCTTTATCGCCTTTATCTTTCCTCTTATTGAAAAGACCAACGGACGGCAAAACTGCCACTCCACCAATTGGTTTCTAAAGCAATATTTACGTTAAAATATTGAAAAAGTAGTAAACAAATAAAAGCACCAGTATAAAATAAGCATAGAAAAGCTAAGTATGCAATTCCTAATCTTATTACTAATAAGTTATTAGATTGTAATAAAGCCCACTTAGACAAACTATTGAATTTTCTAAGACAAAGTAAAAAGTAAAACTTAAAAAAGGTATCATAATGTAAAATTAAGCTAGTATTTCTATGTAAAATAAGAAATTAGAAGAATGAATCCATCGCGAACTACCTATATCAATAATAATAAAAGATATTATTATTTTAGTAAATAAAATATTTACCTTTTAAAAGAATGACCTATAGTTACATACATAAACACGTATAAAACAAATGCAAAACACTGTTGAATCATACTGTATTTATAAAAAAGATGATGCTTTAAGAACAAAAATAATGCAAAAATAGTTAACATTCACTTTATGCTTCAACTTAAAGTAGCTATACTAGCAAAATACTCAATTAACAGACCAAGGACAAGATAAACAGCAAAACATAGCTGAAACTTTAATATTGGAATAAAAATATAACACCTTCTGATTTTTTTCAGCCTCGTATTCTCCTTCCACAGAACTAACTGAACTGCCTGACTTTGCTGATCCAGCACTGAACTTTCTCGCCATCTGTCGGCGTCCAGTAAAAAATGTTAAAATCATCCCAATTATAAAATAGTTAAAGTAAGGGATGCAGTAAAAGTAAAACACCACAGTAATTGTGGTAAAATAAATATTTCTATAAATTTACTAAATCTTGATGATATTAGTTAGCGAGTTTCTTACCTTGTCTTTTTCTTTCTTTTCTTTAGGTGACTTATTTTTGGCAGGAGACTGATTGCCAATGTCAGGTATATGTTCGGGCGGATGAGACATTGTATGGCGCTTATTGGCTTCGTTATAGTCATCTTCAGGGCGAACACCGCTTAGAGCTAAAGAAAAATTTGGTCAATCAAATAAGGGATAGCACAAGTTATCTTTTCATCAAACTATGATGTGAAAAAAGAAAATTCCAAAAACTGTTTAAAGAAAAAAAGCGACCCTGTGGTTCAAGTCGAGTTATTAGAGCGACTGAAGAGTTGTAGTAGTTCACAAAGTATTCTCTTTGACTTTGAGCTTCAGCAGAAATTTTTTTTATTAGAATTAATGAAATGCTCATAATCTATTTTTGGATACTAGAGCAGTTTATTCATTCTCATCACATTCCGAATAAATTTAAAAAATTAAATATTACTTACGATCCATACTTCTAGATGTTAACCTCTTGCCAGTCAATGACCTCTCAAATTGAGGAGCAGGTCTATCAATGTGCGTTTTTTTTGTTTCATAATGAGTTCTTCCGGAGTAACGGAATTTCGATCCTAGTTTAGGAAATAAAGATGACTTCTGATTAATCTCAGGAGACATCAATCTGTAGAAACAAGATTATAAAAAAAGTAAAAAGCTGAACAAAAGACAGTTTATTACCTAAAGAAAGTATGATGTTCAACGCAAGTCTTCCATAATTTCTTAGCTGCTCTATGATTGGCTAGTTTAAAACCAATAGTGGATTCGAATTGTTCAAATTCTCCGGGTCGAATTTTAATGTAGAAATTGTGTCTCTTGTAGCTAATTTTGAGTATTTTGGGCCAGGCGAAGCGATTTATTCGCAAACGATCTCTATAGACCAACAAACCGGATGCGCACACTCCTAACATTATGTCCAGACCTTCAGAGTCTTTGGCCGGATGCAAATCTACGCCGTACATTGCTAATTTTTTTGCGTTTTCTAGATAGTGGAGCTCGGCTTGGGCTGGAGTCTGACCTCTATGAGTTTTATGCAGTTCTACAACCTTTTCTTCTAGCTCTTGAGTTTGGTTGGGAGCGAACTTGAACTCCTTCAAGTAATTCCTGCCCATGGTATCGGGATCGTAATCGCCGAGTTCGGATTGCACCAGATAAGACCCGAGAAGGGCATGGGTGACGAACGAACAAGGCAAACGGTTATTAAGGATGTCCATGCGGATCTGCAGGCACAGCTGGTAGCGGGTTATGTCCTCTTGGAGCTGCGAAGGATCTGGAGGGTAGAATTTCACCTCAAAGCTGAAGTTCCACGGTTCAGCTACAAAAATAAGTATTTTTAGAGATGAGCATGTTAACGTTTCTTAATTTGAATTTCTTAATGGATTTAAGATTTTTGTAGCCTGATTTTTAACTAAATATCATTTATGAAAACTATTATAACGTTTTTCTAATGGGAGCAACATTTTTTAAGGCCTCCCATTGATTTTAATTTTTTACATAACATACGAACATTGTATTTTTTACAGTGTTGCAGTTTAATTACCCTATTTTGGTGTAATTTACTGACTGGCAGTCAGTGACTGCGGTGTAGTTTCCTTACATGTTTTAATGCGTTGTAATTTGGATGCAATTTTATAAAAATCATAAACATATATTTGTACCCCAAACTTTAAGTCCCCTTTTTAAAATCACGTCACACATTCTTTGCCTACATTTTCCCGCCCTTTCCAATGATAAACGGAATTAAGTCCTGGCTTACTTCTTCTTAAACAAAAATTTGTTTGGCCTTTAGTTTCTTAAACTATTTGGCCAGAAATTTACCTGCCTTACTTAAGCCCGCTGCACAACAGCCCGGTAACAGGAACGGGAAAATAAACGGTAAAGGTGGGAGAGACTCAGCGAACCCTATCTATCAACAGTGGTTTTTTAGTCTCTCCCACCTTTATTGTTAGGATTCCCGTTCTCGTTACCGGGCTATTGTGCAGCGGGCTTTAGTTTTTTTATGTATGAAAACTAAATAAGCCAGGACTTGGAAAAAGCGAAAAAACATAGGCCAAAATTATGTAACGTAATTTTAAAAAAGTGGACTATTAGAGTTTTGCTCTGGGGTACAGATATATTTCTTGTTTTTTCTATCTGGACTAAGAAGAAATTAGCGTTAATCCTACTTTATAGATTGCGTCCCTCCCTTTCGTCCTGCCGTCTGTACGATTTGTATGCCTTATAAAAAGTATTGTATATCATTCCGTAAGCCATTCCAAGAGGATTTGATTATACAAACATTTTTATTTTATTTAGTTCCAAATTTTATTTTGCAAAACAAGTAGGTACAAAAATGTGTTGTCACCCTCGGTGGTGTAGTAGTCAGTGCTGCGGACTACAAGTCGAGTGGTCGTGGGTTCGAATCCCACATGGGTATGGCTGTTCATTTGTGTTTGTCCAGGGTTAAGTGGTAGAACAGCTTATGCTGAACTTCGCCCTTTGATAATTGATCAAAAATTAAAAAAAAAAAGTAATTAAAGAAGTAAAAAAACACAGTTTCCTGATTGTTCCGCTTGGGGCTCGAGAGCGAAATGCCAATATTTTTAATAGCCATTCCCGGGTTCGTCGGGCCAATGCTATACGCCCAGTAGGATCATGAAGGAGGTAGGACGGGAGGGATAGACATTTTGGTGTTTAGAAGACAATTACGCCGACGCAAATCTACATACGACGCGGGATCCCCCTAGACAGGGCAGTTAGTATTACTCCAAACATTTGGGATTACTGTTTGAGGTTGGGGAGTTGTTAGTTCGCTGCAGGGGCCTAGTTTATTGGCCGTGGTCAACGTCTTGACCGTTACCTAGACAGTTACCGGTGGGAGGTATTTTTTGACTTCTACAGTATACTAATGTAATTACCAATTCCATTAGAATTCGGTTGTGTTTAAGGTTACTTATCGGGAATTGCAGATGGCCATTTCCTCCCTTGGTTATTCTCTTTTGTTTGTTTCGTGAAGAGCATCCAAATGAGTGGTTAGACCGCGGTCGAATGCCCGGAACGTGTCACCGTAGGGTGGTCTTTACTCACTGTAGTTGTTACACTATAGATTATTTGCATTTTATAAGTAATTATTGTGAGTTTTGTTGTTTGACGAGTACTCGAACGTGATATGACAATAATAATATTATTTTTCTACTCCCACCTTTAAAACGACCATTATCGTACATGTTTCCATGACACTAAGTGACCCTTTAAATACACATTGACAAGTTGTGGCTTTACGGCGCTTTAGTCGCGGGCTGAAGTTATCAACAGGTTTTTAGTCACGGGCTGAAGTTAGTTTTAAGTTAGTTGACAGTTGTCGAATGTCATACAATCGTTAAAATAAAGTGCCTTTCTTGTAAAATAATACTTAATGTGAATATTCTTTTATTATCTCAATACAAAAGTATTAAATAGTTTCTCAACGCCAATTTTTAAAAAGTTTATATGAGCATTGTACTGACCTTTTAATTTCGCCGGCAGTAAACTATAACTTAAATTCGGGCACGGACTCCACTGTAAAGTCCTCATAAAACATTTTCTTTACTTTCACTGTGAAAAACTGTCAATTTTCAAAAAATACATTTCGATTTATAACCTTTATAATCTGTGTTTATAAAATAAAAAAATGTGACATTTGACGGTGACACGATTCCACTATTGTTTCATAGATGGCGCTCTATTCAAATTTTTGATTTAAATCATTTTAAGATGATAATAATAAGTATATACTATACGACAAATATTTGTCGTAAAAAAGTATAGTATGCACCTCGTTTATAAACTTTTCTATACACTCATTAATTTAAGCACTCACTCGCAAGCTCGCTCGTGCCTAAATTAAATTCGTGTATAAAATGGCGTTTATCAAACTTGATACATAAAAAAAAAAATTTAGTTTAGTTATGTAGGTCCCACGAAAAAATTAAATCCGTTTTTTATGATAACTTTAAAAGTGCATCAATCTAAAAAGTTGTTTAATATCTATAAATATAAGAAATCTTTTTGACAAAATCCAAACTTGTATTGGCTTAAGCCCAGGGCCCCCAAAGGTAACGGTCCGCCCCTGTATATGATTATTGTCCAAATTTTTCCTTTTAACAAACATGTTAACAAACCATTAATTGATACCTACCATTGGCCAATGTTTGTACAATTTTGAATATTAATAAATATATTCCTTTTCTACACTGAGAAAAAATGGGACAAATAAACTGTGTAGCTTTACTACTTTTTATTAATAGTGAATATATTGTTTATTACCTCTAAATAGTCGAAATAATAATGATAAATTTGCTTTAGTAAAACTTTATAAAGTACACATATATGTGTCAGGAATAAAAATATATTTAGGATAAATAAACAATGCTTCTGTCCCATATTTAATTATTCTTTTTATTTGGGAACCATGAACTTTTTTACAAAAAATTATCGTTTAGTTATTTAAATTGAGTAAGGGCGTGTACATTATAATTAAACTCAAATTATCGCGCGTCTATCAGCCATTCAGTCATTGGTACTAACGCTATAGCGACAGTAAAAAAAAAGAAAAAAGCCAAAAGGTAGTTAATTACACAATTCTTTCTAATTTTCGTTTCATGTGAACTGCCTAATTTTTTTGTGCATTACAATATTTCCCTTTTATACTCATTTTTTGTTTAAATTATTTCTATTTAGAGGTTAAGAGGTCTGGACATGAAAATATTAAAGAAAACTAGTTAATTTATAAAAGATCAAGCAATAAATATAATTTTTATAACCTTTATGGGTTTTACTGTTGTAATTTGCCAAAATACATAATTTGGTTAAGAATAAGAATATTGACATTCAAACAAATTGCCCAAAGATTGACCAATTATTGAATGGTTATGTTGCGCAATGTTGCGCAAACATTAACCAATAATTGGTATCAAAATTAAGGTGTAAAGTTTTGTCAGGTCAAGATAGAGAGGTGATAGCTAATGTCATTTTCTTTATGCAGCGAGATGCTGCACAAAACGGCCCTATCCGTGATTTTAAAAAGTCCAAGAGAGTGCTGCATTAGCCACTGGTGTTAGCCTAAGTAGCATAAAAAGAATTTCCAAGCGATGTCAGCACGCTATAAAGTTTGAGAATTATTTTATGGAGAAAGAACCGGCTTTGGATTTAGTTGTGGATGATTTAATGATTAATTTTCAAGGGGACAGTGACAGCGAGGTAATCAGTGAAGACGAATCGGACGAATTTGATCCGTTGTAGAAAAAAAAATTATTTAATAAATAACAGGATAATATTTCTACATTTTTTATACTTGATTTACTTTCATTTTAATCCACTGTGCGGAGCGTTTTTTATCCTAAGGCAAACTCAATGCAAATGACGATTTGAAGAGCTGGCATCTGCGAATCGATGGGCCACGTCTCTAGCTAGATTTGCCAAGCTAATTATCGCCCAGGATGTAAAAATAATTTAGATCAATCTGGTAAAGTTTTTTACTTCCCAGTCTGAGTCAGATTATCTTACTTTCTATTTTATATTTGAGGTCAGCACTAAAAGACTCACTTCTCAGCCTAATGACATAAATAGTTTTATAGGAAAAACACATTGTTCAATACTTTTGTATACGCCAAAGTTTCAAAAATGTTTGGAGATATTGGACTAAACTTAACGAAAATTGAATCAACATTGGGTCAAAGTAAAATGTTTTTAAAAATTTAAAATTTCATACATAATTACTTTAAAACCCAAATGTTTAATTTTAATTTTGTAAATAAATCCAAATATTTTTAATACAAAATATACTTAATAACTAACATATTGTTATAGTGTAATTTTAAAAAAATATGTAGGTAATTATTTACCTTTCATAAACTTGGATATCCTCTTATCCAAGTCCAACCAATTTCTAGGATCGTGCCTATCGGAATAGATAAGACCAAAGTAATCTTTCTCGATAAGATTGATAGCTTCGCACACTCTGTTGAGAAGTTCTTTGCCAGACGCCTTCCTTTCCACGCTGATGTCCAAAATTGAACCATCAAGCATGGTCACGTGGGCTAAGGCATTACCACTACGCGCCAAGCGCGAGCCTTGGTGTTTCGCTGGAGAAGAATCATTGTCGATGGCCATTTTTTTCGCTTCAGGCATTCTTGCCTATTGGTCTGAAAATGAAATAAAAAATACTAAAACCTCTTAACAGTATGGTACTTTTTTTAAAATATAAAAACGGTTTTAATAAAAATATTTATTGAATATGATTAAGAACGTATGTTTATACATCCATAGTTTATTATAACAAATCGAGTTATATTTAGTTTCTAAAAGCCAATGATTTCATCCAACCTAATTCTGGATAAAATATTGTATTTAAGAACATGAACTTATTCGCAGTTTTATATTGCTGTTTTTCTTAAAAAAGTATTGATTTTAAAGAAATATAATAAAAATATTAGAAACCCAATTGTTACGCTTCTTAAAGAAAAAAATAATTAGTTTTAAACGTTATTCACCTAAGACTAATAAAAATAATCCCCTATAATACGAAATTTAAAACATAGCACATAGAGTCCAAAGAAAGAAGAGAAAAAAGACTTGTGGGTGATTCCTAAACGTCCTAAGAAAAATGTTTATCCTAAATCGCTTTTTTTAAATAAGCACAGGGTGTTGATTTATTTTATTTTTAATATCTTTGAATAACACTGATTATTTTGAATAAAATTACTATTCAGTTGTAGTAAAAAAATATTTGATTACCAAAATTGTCAATAACAACATTATCAGGCGAGTTCGTAAAAGTTTGATCTAAAGTAAAATTTAAAAAAATGTGTATTTTTTTTTTGTTACCATACTTTTCCTATTCGCATTACGCGTCTTGACTGTTGATGTGTAAGGACGTCCAAAGACATCTCCTAAGCAGCGTATACGATACAAACGTATTGAAGTATCAAAAGCGAATCTAAGTATGCGGAAATACCGGTAATCGGTAATAAATTAATAAATAAACAAACAAGTGCAAAAAGTGGAACAAACGCGAAAAGTGCGCCGTAAAATAAAAAAATATCAAATCAATATCGATTTTACACGGGATAACTGGTTAACGCCGTAAAATAAAAATAAATCAATATCGATTCTACAAGTGATAACTGTCCCAAGTGCAAATGAGTGCAAATTGTGTGTGGTACCTCCCCCTGGACTAAGTCCTCAAGTGTTTGACCTGGTTAAAAGGTGTGAGAGAGACAATCTGTTCCAATGAAAATTTCCTGGGCTACCACACGTGCCGCCCGCATGTGTTTAGATTGATCCTTTTCGCATGCCGCCCGCATGCGAAAAGGATCAATCTAAACACACCAGCATGGCAAATATCCCGAAGTCCCAAGTCTGCATAAACTAGATAAGTAGCTACCAAATTGCATGACCATGTCCACCCAATAATATTATTACTAGTTAATACGAAATTCACAACCTTTAACTAACATAATTCTTCAGGTAAATTAATTAGTAGCAAACAATTTCCAAGATTCTCATGCAAATGAAACAGTAAAAAAAACCATAAACCCAAGAGCACATAAGAAGCCATTAATCACTCAAGTTACGATAAACATTAAGCAAAAGAAACCATTCTAAAGAAATTTATTTATTTATGTTTACATCTATAGATTACCAAGACGTAAGGGTTCATAAATTAAGTAAAAATCGTTCTAAGAATCACTGGGATCACGCACAGTGGGAAAAAAAATAATTCGAGGGTCGACAATTCCAGTAGGTTAAACGTATTTCCACATAGTCAGAGGGCAATATTACGGCGGGGTGCGGCCGGCAACACTTCGGTTCGGAAGATAAGACTCAATAACGCACAGGGGGGCAAACAATTCTAAAGCGGCTATCAGGAAGTGCACCATCAAGGAAAGGCGCTAGCAGCATACTAATCCACCTACCCCCATTCAGGAATACCAAATGAATGGGGTTATTACTAAAGCCCTGGTTTAGGAGGATTCCGGATTGTACTTCCTAAACTGGACGTATGGCCCGACCCGGCTGACAAAAATCCCGGGAGCGGCCTTAACCTTTGACACTGTCATCCACGAACTCCTAGGGTGGATCTACCAGCCGGCGTAAAAACTTCGGATCCAACAAACACAGGTAATGCTGTGATTTGGCGGGATACGCAGGAGAACGGAAAGGGGGTAATATAACCCCGGGAGATCAGTGGATGACAATATATCTGGGGCCTGCCATACGTTCCCATACTCATACTCATACTTTTCCTATTCGCATTAGAATTGTCTTTGCTAGTATACTTAATATTAAAAGTATGGCACGCCGTTTTACTTTTTAATATCATGTTTTTAAAGCTAAATATTAATTCAAGTTGCGTTTTTAAAAATTGAATGAACATTTTAAAGTAAAAATTTTATGATGTCTTGGTATATTAAATACACAATTTTAAGCACAGAATGAGAATTAAAGTAATTTTAATTCTGGAAATGAATGGCGTATTTTCTGACTAAAAAATTCGATAAATTAAAATTTGGGTTGAGATAATTTTAATAAGGCGCTACTTGAGAAACACGCAGTCAAATTGAACCAAAATTTTAATTCATCGAATTTCTTAGCCAGTTAATTCAAGGTGCGCGACATTTATTTAAGAAAAAGTAATACTGAAATTATCATTATGTCGCAATTATTTTCTATTATTACTCGTCGACATAAAAATCAATTTACCTGTTAGAAATTAAAGTGATAAAGTTTCTTAATCGACAAACAAATATTTTGCACGAAATATTTGTTTTAATATTTAAATGTTTTTAATATTACTGAAAATTTTATTTGACTAATAAGAATTGAATACAATTTTATTTTTATTGTTATTTTTAAAAATTTTAATATTTACTTTTAATACGAATTATTTTGTTGTTTAAAACACTTTGAAACAATTTTTATACGGGAATAAAGTTGTGGTATAGTTGTTATTAATTATTATGTTATTTAAATCTAGCAATACGAATTTTCATTTAAGAATCTTTCTGCCATATTTCTTTTAATCCGATTATTTTTTTAGATAATAAATTCAATGCTACTTGTATGTGACAAAATATTAATTCCTTATTTTTATTGTTTGGAATAAATATTATGTACCTCGAATTTTCTGACTGAAAAATTCGCTGAATTAAAATTTTGGTTAACAGAATTTTAATTTGGCGCTAGTGCATAGTGCGGTTGTGTTACGTACTACAGCCACCAAACGAAATCACATGTCTAAGGTACATAAGCTCGAAAATAAATTAGGCAACGGTGCATTCAAATTCAGTGCTGCCATTTTATTTACTTACCTGTTTTGCTTTCCTTAATTTCTTACCTAATTTATTGAAATAAAAATAAAGAAAATCCTTTTTACCAAAATATTGGTTTTTATTGACTAAAAGATAAAAAACAATACAATATTTTCAATCCACCATTAATTACATTCATGTTAAGTTTGTGGATTATTTTCAATTACGTCTTATATTCTTTTTCTATGCTTATTACTGTTCACTAAACAGTGTTCAAGTAGTCGGCTCGGACACGTAACGAGTACGACAATTCTGGTAATTATATAAATATCTTCTTCTGCGAGAAATCCTATTGCATAGACAACTAAGCAAATAATGAACCACAATTAAAGTGTCTATTAGGAGAGTCCATATCTATTTCGTATAAAGTGAGGTTAGCCAGCAGGGCAGTCTTGTTAAAATGCACCCCTTACATAATTTAATAATCATTATCATGTCGATATACATTTAATGTATTACATTATTGATAGCACTAAAAATTTTGGACTGCACTGTTGCCCAATTTATTTTCGAGCTTATGTACCTTCGACGTTATGTGGTTTCGCTTTGTGGCAGTAGTACGTAACACAACCGCACTATGCACTAGCGCCAAATTAAAATTCTGTTTACGAGTGTTTTTTTTTAATTCATCGAATTTTTCATCGAGAAAATTCGCCTTGCGCTTACAGATTTAAATCTTGTCTAATTTTTATTCCAAAATAAATATTCTATTAAAATTGTATTAATCTTCCACAATGGGTGAACTTTAAAAAAATTAAATTGCCTACAAAACTGTGATATTAAAAATATTTTTAAATTATAATGAAAAAGCGTTTTTAGTATAAAAGATTTTAATTTAAAGGATTTAAGAGGAATTAGACGGGCAAGCTTAAAATATTTTTGATATATATTTTAGTACTAAGGGAACATCAATTAATTATGTGAGGCATTTTCCTCCCCCTCTATTTTTATCTCACGTAATTAATTAATGTCCCCTAATTACTAAATTGATAATGGCATAATTTAACAAAATCTATAGTAAAGATTTCTGATACTTTATAGGAGCTCGTCTGATTATTTTTAAATATTTTAAGTGCATTTTATCAAGTACAAATTGTACTTATGTACATTACACAAAGCTACATTCTTGACCCCAATTATCCATATTGTCGTGTTAAGTGTTTTATAATATGAGATGATTAAGATGAAAATATAACGGCAATTGTATGTCAATTTATTATTATTTATTATTATTTATTATTATTACTTTTTCCCTTAATATTTTATTTTATATTAATATATTATAAAATATTTTATACATTAATCTAGAGAAAAAAAAATTCCTAAAGGGTACTGAAATATTTTAATGCCACACCCAATTACGAAATGATTCACCACAAAACTATGTAATAATTGCAGTCTCATCATTACTGGTTTATTTGAATTAATTTACCTGGCATTAATAGCGTTTAAACACATTTTTAAATTATCGTATTCAATGGACTAAGCATGTACCTAATTTAAAATTATTTATCTACTCCTTCATTGACGAGCTGCGACTTTATGGCGTTTTAGTCACGGGCTGAAGTAAGCAACAGTGGCTTTTGGGCATTTTAGTCACGGGCTGAAGTTAGCTTTATTATAAATTAGGGAAAAGTGAGGTTAAATCCGTTAAAAGTTAACAGATGTCAAAAGTTTAACAAATAAAATTGGCTTTAAATTCTTTTTCGTGTGCGTCGTAGATAAAGTATAGTATGTAACTCGTTTTATAAACTTCTCTAGACACTCGTTTTCATTAAACACTCGATTGCAAGCTTCGCTCGTGCTTAATAAAACTCGTAACTAAAATGGCA